GAATTATAAATTTTAAAATTGTGAAGAATCAATTTGTCTCGATGTATTCCACAAAGTCAATTTGCAGATTGCAAATCTAAATATTAAGAGGATATTAATCACAATATTTTTAGATTCTGTATACAAATGGCGCATACAGTCCGAGAGCAATTTTACGGAAATTACCAATGTTCATTTCCGACCCAGTCAAATTGCAACAAGCAACTCAAATATTTTACGAATGCGATAATGAAGGTAACCGATTTTATTATTTGACGTTTATTTACTACTTCCAATTTCTTGAGATACACTCCACATTAATTCTATATTATCAAAGACCATAATTACAAAATATAATTATACAGATTTTGAATGTGTGAAGAAATGTTTATTATATTACAAATTAATTAACTTTCATGTGTTTACAAGGTAATTCATTTTATCTTTCCACAAAAACTAAACTGACGCAACTTAAAATTCCATATATATGATATTAATAAACAGCATATATGTTCTATCTGAATTTGTTCTAACTGAATTCTATCTGAAATGTTATCATTCGCTTTTTATTTTAATTACAGTAACTCGATCCGGAGCAGTTGGTATATGGAAAACAATGCAATATCTAAACTGCGCTCAATCAAGTGTAGCACTTATTGATGCAGAATAAATACCAAGTGAAAGTACATGAAAGATGATTTTTTAACGTATAATAATAATTTTAGAATTATTATATTATTTTATAATTAAGCATAAAGCATTACGATTATGCATAAAACATTTCTATATGTATTCCTTCCAATTATTAGTAAGTACCTTTTTTTTCGTTTCCTCTGTTACATTGTAATCATCGTACTAAGCATTGAATAAAATATGATCAAATTGCAAACACGTTTCTGTGTCTAATGAATGATTTTAGCAACCATTTAAGCATTTGAATGAACTTCAATAAAGAAAACATTAAATTAACAGCTTGAAAATATATCAAACGAGGAAAGTTATAACAGGAAAGGAAAAAAATTTTGAGAAATTTTTAGAAAATTATTTTGCAAAAACACTTAAAAATTCTTATTCGCAAAACTATCCCAATAATATTCTTATGGGCTAAAAATTATATTTTGTTAATTAAATAATAATGTTTTTCTCACATTCGCGACGCCTCAGTCCTTGTCAGAAAATTTTCCTTAAAAATATTACTATCTTAAAAATTTTTTCTTAATTAAGGTTCGTAACTAATATTCTTGCACTCTTATTGCACAAAATTGCATCTTATTAATTTAATATCTAAGAGCCTTAACCTGTTAAGTACGTTCGACGTATATACACGTCCGACCAAATCTCTATTGCGGTGCGGTTGACGTGTATACTCGTCGTAAAAAAAAAAATTACCATTGACTATAAAAACTCGAAATTCAATAAAATGTAATAAGAATATTATTTGGTGGTATGTTTCCTTTATATTACCAATACAACTGCTACGTATTTTATATGGAGGGGGGCCCGAAACCAATTATTGGGTTGGCAACTAAGTGATTGCGAATTGTGCCATAACCATCTATCGACAAAATCCGCAATCATTTTGTTGCCAACCCAAAACTTACGTAAGCTGCGACTTAGACGGCGAGCGTTGATTTGCGGAGAAATGGTGTCTGCAATTAGCAGGGCCAATAATGGCCCCTTGCTCTGCAAGGAAGAGCCCTTGACATTTTTTAATACAAGAGAGAGCATTCGAAACAGTACGAACGAAACAATCCGAAGTATTCGATCCAAAAGATCTCTCTTCCTCGCTTTCATAACGTCTAAAGTGTCGATTAAGTGTCGATAAAACTCACTCTCGAGGATTATTAGTCGCCAATTACAAATTTTGAGTTCAAATTTGTGATCAGCGACTTTAAATATCCCCGAATTTTATCCGAGTCACCTTGCATTTTGGTACGCCATATCGAATCCGCCATTTTGAATTTCTGAATATTGTGTTCTTATTCATGATCTCAAAAATTCCATGCTATTCTTGATAGTCAATTTTTTTATGATTCTAAGCATATTTTTCAAACCGCCTGCCATATGGCCAGCTTGCCGTGCATACGATTCATGAATACACACGATGCGCAATTTATGAGCTACCTGAAAAAAAAATTATCATAGTTCACTCCTTTCCGCTATTTCATCATTATTGTGCAACATTCGCAGAGTTGCCTTAATGTAAATCAAGTTCACAGAATACATAATGTAAATCAGCCTTAATGTAAATCAAGTAAAATAGAACGTATTATACAATTTTTAATGCTACATAGTGATGTTTGCGTGACTAACAATTTGCTATAAAAGCGAGGTGGCACCTTCCATAAAATACACTACATTATCTGAGACAAGCGAGAAAACTGAGAAGACCATTATGAAGATCGTCGTAATTTTGATTGTGCTGATCGCTACGGTGAGTACTGTATAAAAAGTCTACTCAAGCTACGTATCAAAAGTTTATACTTTCGCTATTTCGATTTTTCTATACTAAATTACAGGATTTGTTTCTACATTATTTAAATCTGTCGTGATGTATGATTTCATGTTTCACATTTCACTGTTTCAAATATAGCTGTAAATAGATATTTAAAAGTATCCGAGATAACACGAAATCTGATTTTGTACTTAAGTCGTAATGTAATAGATCCTGTTTTTAATAATCACATGTTTATATAATATTTTCTCTTTGAAGTGTAAGACAACTTATTTCCTATAGTTTACTATTTCTTACAAGTTGCGAATTTGCAATGTTTGATAACGTTTCGAAACGAAACAATTTTTAGGTATTTTAGAGTAATTAATTCTCATATATTTTAGGGAGTGGTTTACGCACACAACGAACATGCACGAAGATGGAGACAACACTATGTGGAATGTGCCCAGATGTTTGGTGTGCCCAGTGAGTATAATAATTACGGAAGAAATGATATGAAAAATAATATTATTCTGCCTTGTAAGAATAATTTTCTTACAGAGAAGCATGAAATAGTTTGTTGGAAATAATATTATGTTAATGTCTGTCTAAAACTAAATTTTCCTCTTTTTTCTTTTCAGTTGAAGTCCGAATCGATCTGATGTTATGCGCGGCGATCAAGGATGGTGAAGTAAGTATGTTCAGTTAGTTAAGAATTCCGATTCAATTTTTGAATTTAATTTAACTTCAACATATTCAGTGCAAACAAATTATTCATCAAGTAATCACAATCATTGTGCATAATTGCAAAAATAAGCCTTTAAATGCGAAGCGTCCACGACGTACAAAAAATATTCGATTTGACTTCTAGATTAGTGCCGTCTACATCGTAAATTTGTTTTATACTTTTCACGAGAAATATATCACTATCCCCGAAGCCAAGCCAAGTAAATTTCTTTTGTAAATGATGATCGATTTATTGTCTAGATAGGGCCAAAAATCTGTAGAAATTTTTAATTTTAAGTAAAACAAGATAACAATAAAAATACTGTTTGTACAGCACTTTCGAATTATAAATTTTAAAATTGTGAAGAATCAATTTGTCTCGATGTATTCTACAAAGTCACTTTGCAGATTGCAAATCTAAATATTAAGAGGATATTAATCATAAAATTTTTAGTTTCTGAATACAGCTGGTGCATACACTCGCGAAGGAGGTGCACGGAAATTACGAATGCTCATTTCTGACCCAGTCAGATTACAACAAGCATTTCAAATATATTACAAATGCGATAATGAAGGTAACCGATTATATTATTTAACATCTATTTACTACTTCTACTCGCTTGAGATACACTCCACATTAATTTTATATTATCGAAGACCATAATTAAAATAAATGATTATACGGATTTCGAATGTGTGAAGAAATGTATATTATATTAAAAATTAATTAATTGTCATGTGTTTACAAGTTAATGCATTTTATCTTTCCACAAAAACTAAACTAACACAACTTAAAATTCCATATATATGATATTAATAAACAGCATATATGTTCTATCTGAATTTGTTCTATCTGAATTCTATCTGAAATGTTAACATTCGACTTTTATTTTAATTTCAGTAACTCGATCCGGAGCAGTTGGTATATGGAAAACATTACAATATCTAAACTGCGGTCAATCAATTATAACACTTTTTGATACAGAATGAATACCAAGTGAAAGTGCATAAAAGATGATTTTTGATGTATAATAACAATTTTAGAATTTTTATGTTACTTTATAATTATGCATAAAGCATTATAATTATGCATAAAGCATTTCTATATGTATTCCTTCCAATAATTAGTAAGTAAGTCTTTTTCGTTTCCTATGTTACATTGTAATAATCGTGATAAGCACTAAATAAAATGTGATCAAATTGCAAACACGTTTCTATG